AGATCGTATCGCTTTTGGGCGGTAATTTTGCAGTTGATCTCTGTGGATTTCACGTTGTCATTTTTAATCAGCACGTGATTATTTGTGGTCTTGTGCTCGACACGGCGACACCTTAAAGTTTTACCCCACCCTCCTTTTTGAGTTAGCACTTCACAAACCCGCAGGTAATTAGCTGAAGAACAAACACCCATGAATTATTCACTTGTCTTGTATTAAGTGCCTTTTAAGCAACAAACAGCTATAATTTTAATGGCCTTTTAAAATTTGGGTGGTTTTTTTTTTACCGTAACTTTAATATAAAATTAGATATGTACGTTGGGAGTGCAACATGCTTGTTAAAAGATACAATCGGTAGGTAAGGTCATATATATTCTCGTAAAAAAAAAAATCCTTGACAAAATGAAACCATTAGGCCTAAGTGACTGATATTCCTAGAAGCGGAGTAATTGCCATCATAAACATTGCATGTACAGCACCGGATAGGAGTTGTACCTTATTGAGGATGAATTCGGTAAATTGCAGGGAATTTGGCTCGGAGTATATTGTGCTCGTGTCCTTGGGCAAGACACTTAACCCCAATATTGCTTCTCTTTACAACGGAGGAGTGTTGTAGCTACTCGTGCAAGTGAAGTGTTTGGCGTTGTAACAACCTAAATGTGCGTAATCTACATCCGGGTTGTAGTGCATCAATTTGAATTTAAGGAATTATTTATTGGCCTGACGGGCAGGGGTAGTAACGTCGAGCCTTGACTGCCATTTGGTCATGGGGTAAATACCGTCTTTCTACAATTACACGGCCCTCTGTTCCCTGTCATGATGCCATTATGTTGGTCCCTTCATTTCTCGTTTTTCCTCGTCACTTGTCGTCACCCTCCCCCAATCTCGTTCTTTCTCGTCATTCTTCTCACCTTTCATCTATATTCTCGTATTTTCTCGTCATTCCCTTTCACCTCTTTTCTATTCTGATTCATTCGCGTCAGTTCTTTTAAGTTTTCATCGATCCTCTTTCGTGACTTCTCTTAACCATGCTTTATTCTCGTTCTTTCTCGCCCCTTTTCGTCACCTCCCAACACCCCTCCCTTTCTCGTCGTTTCTCGTCACCCTTCTTCCCTTCTTCTTTCTTGCATTTCTATTCACCTTCCTTCATTCTCGTCCTTTCTCGTCATTTAGTCTGTACCTTTCTTCCATTCTCGTTTTTCGTAGTCGTTTCTTGTCACCTTCCTTCCTTTCTCGTTCTTCCTCGTCATTTCTCATCACCTGCCTACATTGGTCTCTTCAATTCTCGTTCTTTCTCGTCATTTCCCGTCACCCGTCTTACAGTCGCGTCCTCCCTTGCATTCCGTTCACCTTCCTCCATTCTCGTCCTTTCTCGTCATGTACCTTAACCTTCCTCAATTCTCGCTCTTTCTCGTCATTTATCGTCACCCTTCCTGCATCACCTCGTCTCATCTTCCGATTCTCAACCAAACATAACGCTTTCAAATCATATCGGAAGGGGGGGGGGGAGAAGTCTACAACCAGCGCGTAATTAAATAATCTCTGTGCGACTATCGTGCATAATCCCAAAGTCTTAAAGAATTCCAAACATCTTCCAACTGATAGTAATTAAGAAAGAGGAAGCGCGGTTGGCCCACGCCCTGCGCACACAGGATGGTAGACACCCAAAAGAATTAATGCGCGTGTGCTGAGGATGGCCCAGGGAAAGTCCCACGAAGATTGGGAGTTCCTGCAGGTTAATAAAATGTCATTAAAGTTAATGGGATGTGTGTCTAGGTATTTAGGATCACAAATTGAAGGAGCCCCCTCGTTACTGTGTTTTGATCAAAGGGGTAAAAATAGCAATACAAAAACAGTGTTACCTTTTGTTAGGCCCGCTGTGTTTTTGGAAATGGTCCAAACTTACAGCCTTTGTTAGCCAATGCTCGCCGTTCTTGAAATTGTGGTAACAAGTGTAAGCTTTACAAGTATACATTTAGTTGTTATTGTTCCCAGGTTGTTATTACCTCCGCCAAGGAGGTTATGTTTTCATCGGATTTGTTGGTTGGTTGGTTTGTCTGTTAACAGGATAACTTAAAAAGTTATGGACGGATTTGCATGAACATTTTTTAGGGCTGGTCCTTGGTACAAGTACAAATCGATTAGATGTTGGAAGTGATCCGGATCTGGGTCTGGATCCAGGATTGTTTGTAAGGATTCTTCACCAATATTTCTTTTGGGTGTGCTGACAATATATGGCGGGGAATTTTTTAGCCTTGGTAGAGGTTTGCGTTCCCCGAGTGCTTCTAGTTTCTGCTGTTTACGGATTCGATAATAGGGCCAATATACCTTTTTCTGGGTTTTATTTCTACTTCTAAGTTCTTGAAGACTTTTTGTAAACTCTTCCGAGAGAGGAAAAAAGAGAAAGAGATGAATCCCCTGTTGAAGCAAGCGTGAACAGGTAAAAACACAAAAGTCGCATCGCGGCTGTCACTCAAAGATAATGTTGCTCCGTCCAAACGACAGGAAAAACAGGGAAAAAAATTGGAAGAAAAACCCTTGACAGGATAATTTGCGACATAGCATGCATCACGACTCGTGACACGTATTTATTTTCCCGCTTCGTATTTCTTTCAGTGTTCAAATCAATCAGTAACCAAGCGCTAGTGACTTATACCGTGAAATGAACAAACAAATCGGCACTACAAGAAGTCACGAGTGTCTCGTGCTCAATTTTCCTCTGTGATGAAATTGCTTTCGGGTGAATAGCGCATGCGTCTCAGAATTTCAGACCATTTTTGTTTCATGACATGACTTGCCGCTCGTGCTGAATTTGATTTGATTGTTCCGGAAATTACTAGCTCGATTTTATCATTAATTTTTACACAGACCTGTTACACCTCTCCGTGATGTATACTCACTACTCTCTAAAACTGGAGCCAAAGTAACTGTACACCCCGGCAAAATAAATTACAGGCCTAGAGAAAAGATTACGCTTGTTGCAAACAACCTTGCTCATGAACACAATGGGAATGTACAACATTTGCTTTTGCTGTAATTTTCAGATATGGATGGATTTGGGGAATAAACAAAGGGAACATGCAGCTTTGTATCAACTATTGTTACACTGAACTGTTTAACGTTTTGTGTTCGTAAATGTTGGAAAAACTAAGAAAAAAAATCATTTTCTTGTAGTCTGGTTCCCTGACCCCACTTCAGATGAAACGGAGCAATTTATAGACGTCGGGGAATCGTAAGGTTAGGGAACCAGTCTAGCTGGTTTGTACCCGTTCACATAATTATGTGTAACCGATTGCAAACTAAATTTGGTAAATTGTGGGCAGTGTTTGAAAAAAGTAAGTTTTTCTCCCAACCATGGTCGGCCGACCATCGTTTGAAATTGATACAAAAATTCCATTTTTTTTTAAATGACAGCATACCAGGTGCCATGATTTCACAGGATGCTTGAGGCTATTATTCATTTACAGTTAAGTAAGGTGTTTTATAATAATTTGGTAGTTTTGTTTTTTGAAGTTTGCAAATGTTGTATGTAATGTTGCAAAGTGTCTTGCTTAGGAAAGTGAATCTCATAGCTTGACTCAAACCCACGCATCCAAAATACTAGCCTCACTTTAATAGAGTTTAACTTTACTTAACATTATTTAATCATTTGTTATGCATGCAGGGCCCCAGTGGAAACAAGACTTAAACTGTTTGGGCAAATCCTGGGTAAAGAAATGTAATAAATAAATACATAAATAAATAGAATCGACCACGCGGCACTACGCACGCATCATCCCTATATACGACAATCCCAGCACGTAAACCAAACTCATCACGGGGCCCACGTCACGACAGGTGTCACTCACTGCCATCCTCGTCCATCGATGAGTACTCAAGCACCCGGACTCTTCGCTTGCCACTGACAGGTTCTGTCAGAGCCTAAGCTCGAGGGGTCGGTGCACGTGTTTGCTTGGTTAAGAACCCTCGGTGGAGGGACCTTGTCTTCAACAAACCTGCGAGTCATTCAGGTGATAAATTGCTTCAAACGTCAGCTTTTTGTCCTCACCATTACAAAAAAATGTAAAATCTTTTGTTATGTGGCTGTTTCCGAAATCCGTATTCGTTTGCAAATCCGTTTTCTTCCGTATCAATTTGTCGTGGCTGTATACAAGTTTCCTGTTGAGACTAAAATTGATCTACATGTATATCGAAATGGACCAATGCCAGAAACTAATTACGCGGAATATATCCACAATTTATTGACCTGAAATTATTGGACTTAGCTGAATGCATGGTGAACAGGTAATTGTAATCCTTGCTCTACCTCATTATCATAATGAGCAGAGTGCCCGCGTCGATACAGTTCTGCAGATTGTATCCGTTTTACGGCAAACAATATTATTGAAGATGTGACATATTAAAGGGGCATAGTAACACTACTGCCCTGCTCAAGGGTGCATAGATTTAAGGGCAAGGGTGGAGTGGGGGTATAGTTAGACCATAGAGAAAGGACAATGGTCAGACTATATAAGCGTCGCGATATTGGGGTCAATTCTGTTTATGACAGTGGCCTACGGACTTTTACCAACAGGTTTGAGACATAATGACGTCACACTTTGTTTACATGTGTGCCTGCTTGTGAGAGAGCTTTGCGATTCCTCTCTCCACCTGGCTCCCATAGAAAAGCGCACATGTAAACAAAACATGACGTCATAACGTCACAAGTCCATTCGCAGTTATGAGGTACTGAAGCACTACAAAGAACCCCATTGACGTTTGTTTTGATGTTGTATTTTGCTGATTTTAAGTTTCCTACAAGGGGATCATGTGACCATCTTTTTTTTTGAAGCATGAAACACTGAAAAGAAGTTGCTCTTAAGATCTTTAAAAACAATATAGATTGGACAAGACAAAAAGTCGGATACAATATTGACTGCTCAAGTCAAATCTGATTGAGTTTTTCACTTCAGCGAGTGAGACAAGTCTTGAAAGCTCAAATTACAACGCCATTTTCCAGACACTTTTCTTTGTTTTAGAATAAAAGTCAGTTGGTTTATTTTACCTCAAATCATAGAAAAAGCCCTCTCAATGATGATCAGAAATTGAACATCTTAATAATAACAACAACCGACTCCATCTACACTTTTTTTTCTCTAAACTTTACAATGCACGGACGAATCCGGTGCAACTTGAAAATGTTTTCATTAAATACTTCTACAACTTTTTTTTCTTATTCAGCCGAAAACAAGATGGCGAACCAGCGCCAAACTTAACAACACCTCATCAATTGCATCAAACTCTCACACTTTAAAAATCAATATAATTCTGTATTTTTGTTTGAAAGTATTTTTTCTCATATACCATGATTTTTTTTTAGGGCAAACCAATCCTTCATATTCCATTCATTGTGAATTTGTACCATCTTTATGACTCTTTCTCATTACAGATAGTCGGTTGCAAAGACAATAAAAATTGTTACAAATGTACAAAGACCGACTTGTATTCTAAATGATACATTTTTTTCCTTAAAACCATGTTAGTATAACCACACACACCAAAATATTCGACAGTATAATACTGCAATATTCTCGGAAGACATACTAAGGAAGCTACAGTGATTATTGTATTTTGTCCCGCCCAAAACAAATTGGTTGAAAAGCTTCAGTGCCCGCGTCACATTTCACGGGTTACCAAAAACCAAAATCGTGACTGAGACCTGTGCAAAAATTGCCGGGCACCACGAAACGCTTCAACCAATCACGGGAAGGGAACACAGTATATATGAATATTCACGAAGAGAAGGAAAGATTCCTCGGCGCCAAACAACTGAAGTGCCATTCCCCCAAATGTGTGAACCACACGGCATTTTGGCGGGAAAAATCCATAAGGCACGCGTTCAAAAAGACCCACATCTGAAGTCTCGCTCCCTAAAGAGCCCCTGATTCAAGTGACCCTCTGATCTTGCATTCAAGACATATCGGTTTTCCAACTCAGGAAGAGCCAGCCATATTCTCTTCTCAGCGGCAACACGATTGCTTCCTCTTCGAGTTGAATGCAAGATCCCAAGGGGACCTCTCTAAGATGCTTTTACAAGAGCAGAGGGACCCTTGATCGGGAAAGATGGAGCCTTTAATCTCCTCAACATCTCAAGATGGCTCATCATCTTCAGAAGTACAATGTATTAAAAACAAAACCTCCAACAGAATCTCAACTCTTCAAGTTCTCAACATCTGAATTCCAAACAAACTTACACCCAACCTTTAAAAAAAAAGGCAGCAAAATTATCCTTATCTTAAAACTCGTTCTAATGCCCAGGTCAGCTCGAAAACTCTTGCGAAATATTTATCATCTACACAAATAAAATAATCAGATAACATTGGTCTTTATCATAATACTGCTGACATCTTTACAAATTAACAAGAGTTCAAAAGTTAAACACAAGGCGAGAAACAAACAAAAAAATTTAAGCTGTTTAGAGTTCTGTATACAAGTGGAAAATTACTTGGTACATAACAAAATGCATTAATTATGATGGAATTTTTTATATCAAAACAATTATGTGCATAACCTGAAATTGATCAAACTCAAAAACAAAAACAAATAAAAACTTAAAATCAGGCTTAAGAACTCTTTTCACAATCTATTCACTACCTGTTCAGATGCAGCATTTTTTTTTTTAATACATTGACCCGGGTCCCGTGCAATTACTAGAGAAAATTCATACCAAGGAATGTTGATAACGTCATTTTGTTTATAAACAAAATACATCATCCAGCCAAGGTGAACTTGTAGCGGACCCTCCAACCGCACGTGACCCCGCCAAAATTGCACATTCTAACAAAAAAGCACTCACTCTATATAGGAACATCACAAGAAAGTTGTCATTAATTTGGTCTACGAATATCTAGTTTTTGAGTTTGCACCTACTTGCTTTTGCGGCTCTTAAAAAAAGGTGAAACTACCAAAATAAACAACACAACATAATAACTTAATACTAACCAATTAATGAACCTATACATGTTTTCTTTGTACAACTCCACAAGTGAAACACAATCAAGTTTTCTTGAACAAAAACTTTAAGGAAGCATTTAACGGGATCAAACACAACTTCCTGTATAAAGGTACTCGAAATAAGCTTGAAATAAGCTTCTTAAATTCTTTTCAGTGAGGCTTTACTTGTGGATACTTGTAGTGAAACGCAAAACCAGATTAAGGTCTGGGTGGAAAAGCAAATTACAGCGCTATAAACCAATAAAAGTAGAGCGTGAACAACCTTTACAAACTCAAGACGGTAAAAGTATTTTAGAAATTCCGAGAAAGCGTTATAGCTGAACAAGTATAACTCAATGTAATCTACTCGTTATTTAAGCATGACAGTACGCGAACCATGCTTGTAAAATTCTCACGTGCAATGTGCAACAAAGTTAACTGTTTTGCTCAGTGAGCGGGACTGGAGAACCAGCTTCAGTCCCCAACTTTCAAATAAACAAAAATGTCTCTCGAATCCACCTCACATGAAAGAGTTTGTCAGCATGTCTGTGGCGAAGTTATTGTCCGTGTAGGCGCTCTGTGGCGGCAGAGAGTCAAGCTGGTACATGTCCATGGGGAGATCGTCACGGTTGAGCTCGAAGAGAAGCTCCGCATCGCTGAGCTGCATCAGCCCGTTCAGAGTGGAGATTTGGTCAGGTGTCAGCCCATTCCCGTTCAGCTCGTCCGAGCTGATCGGGTACTGGGATGGAGTGAAGGTGTCGGCGGGTTGAGGTCTGGCTTGTTGGTTGGTCGTCAGGTTGTTCATCTGCTGCAGCTCCTGCTGCTGCTGTTGCATCAGTTGCTCCTGCTGCGCCTGCGAGAGAGCTTGTGAGATCAGCGACGTCACGGCGCTGTTTTGGTTATGCGGAGGTGCATTGACAAGAGCCCGGAGGCTGCTCAACGTGGCGCTCGCCGACATGTTCATGTTGTCAAGTCCTTGGCTGACCATCTCCGTCTTGATCGGCATGAAGTCACCGCATCCGGTGCTGTTGACTCCATCCTGCTCAACCCCATGACCCTCCATCTTGATGGGGTTGAACTGGTAACACCCACCGTTGTTGATTCTGTCCTGCCCAACCATGGGAGATGGGGGACTCTGAGCGCTTGTAGCGTAAGGCTGCATGTGATTTGGCCCCTCGAGTCCAGGATTGGGGAACGTGAAGACGTTGTCCTCCATCATCAAGGGTGACATCTCCGGTGTCGGAAGACCCATCGCAGCGAGGGGTTCCGAGTAGCCAGTCGCGGTGTAGCTTAAGTCGATGGTGTTGATCGGGGAGACCTTGAACTTGATTTCTGGCATGGCGTTGGCATTGTCCATCGGTGTCGGCGATGTGCGCGGTGTGATGTCAGGCGTCTGCAGGGAGCTGGTCCCCATGTGATCAGGGGAACTGGCCGACATGGAGACCGGTGTGGCAGGCGCTGACAGCGGGGTACCAGGACTGCTGGTGGTGGTGGATCCACCTGCTACCGTAGACCCACCTGTTGGCTGAGCGGTGTTGGTGTTCCTCTTCATGGTGCGCTTGGGACCTTTGCGGCGTCGTGGTCGGTACTTGTAGTCGGGATGGTCAGCCATGTGCTTGACGCGAAGTCTCTCCGCCTCATCAATGAAAGGCCGCTTCTCCATCAGAGACAAGCTGCGCCAAGATTTACCTGCAGAAACGATACAATGGCACAACACCAATTAAGTATTGGGAACAAGTAATTTTGTTTTAATCAAAGAGTCACGTCATGAAATTATACCATTATATAAACAACAGGTGTAAACGCTTCTGTAAAAAAAATTCTGAGCATGTCAGTGAACATGTCTTTATTCCTCAGAGATTTGCGTTATGGTTATTTATTTTCTATTTCTTTAGATTTTGGCGGCGACAGTCTTCCCAAGAGGAGCTGCTTTCACTCCCGAGTCAAGTAAGTCCAGTCAATATTTTCATTATTTTGATATTATATTGAACGTGTATTGTGGCATAGTGACTTGTCAAAAGCTGTTTTCGTTATCCTGGGCCCGGTGCGTTATCAAAGTATCAGGGTCGGGAATGTCCTGTCAAGTTTTTTTCCCGACCGAATTCAATTAGCGAGTTGACTAAATAAAAAAAAAATCATCACCAGAATCGGAGGTCAAATCTTCAGGATAGCCCAGAACAAGGCTAGAAAGATAAGATAGACAAATTCACAGCAGACGGAAGGAAGCAAGACCAGGGCTACCAAGTCCCACACTTGGAAAAACAAGCGCTAAGGCAACAAACTCTTTGTCCTTCGCTTTTAGGGATAGAAAAGATCCCCACGCACACGCATACACGAGAAACCAGAGCTTCCCTTTTTCAACAACTCGAGGCTAGTGGACCCGATCAGCTGGTGGGTGAGGTCACGCGGCGATTAGTCATCAACTCCAATAGAAGCCCAGGTAAACCTCAGAAGAAAAAAAACCTTTAAAGGGATTTTTCCTTTGAGAATGGAGATCTCCACTTAAGCGTAAATCAAGCCATGGTTGATTGACCCGCAGAGAGTAAACGAGTTTCACTCTCCATCCGTGACTACAAGCAAAACTCTAATAAAACCAAATCTGCAAGCTGCTAGTGAAATATTGCTCCAAAAATGTGACTGTCATATCGATTATACAATTCGAGTTTCGATACAATGGAAGCCCAACAAGCATCCTTGTTACAAAAAACTGACAAATAACACATCTTCCCCACGATCAAGCATAGGAACAACATTAAGTTTTTTAACAGTGATTCAGAAACACTTCAATGTTTTAATGTTTTGTAGAGTTGCATCACACATAATCTTAACGGCATGACACAGGGTCGTTTGCTTGACATGCATTCTGTTTTTCCCAATAATAACGCCTCGACATCCAAAGAAGAATGTTCAAAACCTAACCTGTTGTAGTTTTAGCTCGGTGGATATTACACTTTCGAGAACTCTTCAACAATGATTCAGAAACAATGAACGTTTAATGTTATGTGAAGAAGTTGCATTACACATAACCGCTATCATCACTTCAAGTGTTCTATCCAAACCTCACTCAAACATCGCAGGCGCAAAGGAAACATAGTACATCCTCGTGCGACCAGAGAAAGTTGGACCCAAGCCACCATCTCAAAAAAAATCCCAACCTCAGACCACTCAACGCAAACTGAAGGTGCTCCTTTAAAACCTTGTTTTGCTCCCGTCCAATATCCCCAGGTACGTGTGTAATACCTCGCATAAATAACCCCACAGCTCTCTTGCCAGCTGACAGTATCAAAAGTGCCCGCTTGACCGCACACCCTTTATTATATCCAACTCGCAGCCAACCAGTATAATATATTATTAGTTCATAACAACTTCCCCCAATGTAAACAACAGGCTCTTGTATTTGCCACGGCCCCAACACGGAACAGGCTGCTGGAAATCGAGAAAGGAGAAGGCACACAAGGCGGTGCACTGGACCACAAACACAAACCCACAAGTATTAAAATAGAAAGTGCAGCACTCCGATGAGTGTATAATTTCGTTTCGCTTTACAATTTGACATTTATACTCAATTGAAGATATCAACTTTATTGTGACCATTTCGCAATAAGTGGACTAGTTGTTATACCTCGTGCAAAACCTCGAACCCCTATTCACAACTGAAACATAATTATTTCCCCAAACTTCAAATGTGTTGCGCAAGTTGGTCCCTGAACAGGTTTTAAGTTTATTCACGAACCCCACGTGACCAACAAGTAAATGACAGCTATTGGTTGAGTGATTGTGAAAGTGCGTGCGGGGTGCCTCGATCAGTGGGCCACGTGACCTTGAGTAGGAGGAGTCAAGGCGGTTTGCTCGGGCAACCCCCAACGACAAGGGAACTGCCATTGCAATTGGTCGACCCGCAGTTGCGAAATGCACGTAAACAGCACTCATAATCATACTGTGGATCAGAGTCTGTGATCTGTATGCAAGCATGGATTGCATTTGTACATGAGCACGCACATAGTGCATGCACAACGCTTTCAAAATCAGTAATGTGACATGTTCTTGCTCTATGATGCGTTCAGTTCAACATTAGCAACTTGAAGTTACCGGCATGTTTTTATACGACATTGAATACTGTGCATTAACTTTCCTGTTTGAATTCGACATGATGGATGGTAGTTTAAACAGAAGTTTCAGTGAAACTCTGGCGAACGGGGTCATATTTCGTCCAAACAGAGAGAAGCTTGTAACAAAATCATAAAATAAGGGTTTTTTCTTCCTAAACCGAATCAGAATATACTAACATTCCTCCAAACGTATTTAACACTTCTGAAATGCTTCCCACTACTATCACTAGGCTACAATCGTACAATAACCGTGCTTCCAAATACAGAAGACGTATTTACCTTCAAGTCCTTACTTATTCAAGAAAATAACTCTTTTTTTTTTTAAATTGTCCGCATATTAGCTCATACCTTCCCATCATGCTTTGGGGCATGACGTAATACATTGGTCACTTGTGCTCACCCGGGTTCATTATACAGGGCAATAGTTTACTATTACACCATATGCAGAAATGTATATTTCATTATCACACACCACGTATTACGCTCACACAGTACATGTACATGTTAATGCTTCCGTACGACTAAATGAAAACACAACAGTTGCACATCGTTTGATGGCAATTTCAATTTCAAAAACAAGACCTAAAAAAAAATACTGGTACATGTTTATCCACACGGGTTCTCGTCTTAAAACCGCAGGGTTGCAAATGTCTTTTATTCTTCCAATCCCAAAGCGATACTTGCAATATCATCCCATCAGCAAAAAAAATGACAAAGGCTTTCCTTCACGCTAGACCTACGGCATGTGTTTCAAATTTGATTGTAATAGATAGGGGAATAGTTGCTAGTGACTCCATGCAATGCATCATATACAGATTCGCGACCTCTGACTAATACAATAATACCGTATACCGCTTATAGGATGACTCAAAATACACTGTTATGGTGATCCAAATTCAATGTTACAGTGCATTATAGGATATTTTTCTTATAACATCCAACTCGTAGTACAGCAACAACCAGTGCATTATAAGATATTTTTCTTATATTAACATCCAACTCGTACAGCAACAACCAGTGCATTATAGGATATTTTTCTTATATTAACATCCAACTCGTACAGCAACAACCAGTGCATTATAGGATATTTCTCTTACATTAACATCCAACTCGTACAGCATCAACCACTAGCATAATTGTTCTGGTTATATACAAACAGCCCGGAACAGTGTGTGTTTCGATACAACCAAGCACACTTAGAATATGTGTGTGTACATTAGGTCATCAATAATGCTACCATCGCCAATCATGTTGCGACCATGTGCATGTAGAACATGAAAGCGAGACAGACGATCGATACCAACCTATCAATAATGTTCACAATAAACGTGTACCCGCACAGACACCCCACTAGTTAGCTATGTATCCCACTAGGTTTCAGAATGGTTTTTGTTGTTACGGCCCAATACATTTATAGCCAAGATATTTTTGTAGGCCCGTTAATACCGTTAAAGGTCATGTCAAAATATGAACTGTGCTCCAAAGTACTGTACTATACACGCACTGTTGTTTTCCTTGCCTACTAAAAATGAAATAGTTCCCATTGTGACGCAACTTTTTATAACATTTGCTTTTAAGTAAAATTGAGGACTGAGTTTGGAACTCCGGAAGGTGATAAAAACTCAGCATGTTAGTGTCTAATATAATCCTTGGACATCCAGTGTCACCGGTGACTTGGGAGTTTTGACTGAAAGTTCGGTTCTAGGAACAAGATTTGTGAGTGACAGTCGGAGACTCACCGAAGTGCCGAGGGAATTGTATAATATTACGGGGGTCTGTTTTATGTCAAAGTCAAAATGACTGCATGGTTCCTATCAAGGCAGTGACTCCTGCAGTACTTAACATAAACAGTTCACAGCGCTAAAGGAGATAAAGAGATATTTTCTGAAACAACACATGATTATTATGAACAGTAGTTGTCATGCACACACAGCTTTAAACTACGCTGTAACATCCAACGCAAACTAATAATTTGTTCCAGTTTTGTTCAAACCACGAATTCCTGCGATTCAAATGCACAATAATTTGCCAGTTTATGGTCATACCAGGTTTTCCCCCACTTAATTCCAACCATTACTGCGCATGCAATTTCTGAGAAATTTATGTCCAACTTCGCATGCAACTCAACAGCTGTTTACAAAAATAGTCGTACAAATACACAAGCACGGCAATCACATTTCATTTTCCCCAGTCAATTATAATTCCCTTTGCAAACACTAAAATATAATGTCTCAGACGTGAAAATACCTCGTTTCCACTTTCCACACACTATTAGTATTACTATTAATAAAATCTCGCAGCCCATTTAATAAAAAAAAAATCACCGCATTTGGGAATTCAGATCGGCAATTTTCAGGGATCCCTAGTCCGCGCACGGTGTTTACTTGTAACGTGAGTAGCCGAGCTGTCATTGATTTACACGGGCAAGTAAGAGCATCGCTGCGGGCACTGAAAATGGCCTTGACATGGGTAGTGTATTAAAGATCACAGAAAACTGTACAACGCAATGGGCCTGTTGACAACACTGCCAACAAACTGCGCACAATATACACAACACGACCAAAACCATCGCACATGTGTTCAGTTAGAATCTGTGGAAATGGACATACATGTACAGCATGGAGTACATATGGTTCGCACACACATACACATGGTTTACAGCTTTATGTGACAAAATATGCGTCATTGGTATTACACGGAGCACAGACCGCTGTATGTATCGCGCAGTTGGTTTCCGTTTTGTTTGCTCGCCAATCGCATGTGCATAATGATTTGTCAGGGTTCGGCTCCAAGCGTAAATTTGTAAGGGTCCGGCTCGATCCATAAATTTTGCATTGCGACATGCTGGATGGTTGGACTTGACAGTCATGGTAGTTAATGCATGGAGATCGGTGGTTAAGCGCGTAGAACGCACAGGTTTAAACCGAAAAGCAATTTGACACCTGATGTGTGTGTGTAGATTGAAAAAGGGCAAATGTGCTTCTTACGCGCGTGAAGCTGTATCAAGATTGCTCGTACTTGTTTTAATTTGTTGTATGTGGAGGGATGAATAGTGGTTTCGTTACGGAAAAGCAGCTCCGTGTTTAAAATACCGGTAATAAAAAGTTAATGTGGTAGTATTGCAGAGTTTTCTGCTATGGTAATGTAATGGATTATTCATGATACTCACCTAGCATTTTACTGAGATCGGCGTTGTGAAGATCGGGGTTCTGATCCGCTAGTCGTTTTCTCTCGTCCTTGGCCCACACCATGAAGGCATTCATAGGTCGTCTTATCCTAGTTTCCCTCTTGCCTCTGCCGTTGCTCCCAGCATCGCCAGAGTTCTTCTCCTTCATATCCTCCAGCCACTTGCATCCGGCCTGCTGGAGCAGCGCGGCGTTGCCGGGCTCCGAGAGCAGGGCCACGGTGCTCAAACCCCCGCGGAGCATCAAGGTATTCCTGGTCATGTTTAAGTCCTGTTGAAGCATTTCCGAGACGGTTCTCATTGTGCGATGATAGCCGATGTCGTCAAACCAACTAAACTCTCCAAGAAGCAGTAGTGTTTCTCACCGACCGCATCCAGTGAGAGCTCACCAAATTGTGTTGTAATGAACACCCCGGTTTGGGTTATTTCACAGTTCGCGATCAGCTGGAGCAATCAGCTGTTCTGCCTTCATTGACACACTAGTTCTTTAACCGGCATCCCCGTAAGGTCTGTCAGTCAGCGACCAGGAAGGCCCGCCCCCCGTGCGCGTGAACTAATGCGCCTGCACGTGACCTTACAGGGCTCGCACAGTGACGCGTACGTCCGCCCACTTTGTCATGCGGCGGTGTCGGAGCGGATCAACTAGTCTAGCGCCCGCTACGTTCACACCACAATTCTCACTCGCATGCACATCGCACCTGCGCTGCGTGTGTGTTGATATATGCATTTGGCAGATTCACCGATTGTATGGCGTAACGGTAAAATGGAAAACTAAACGCGTGGTTTGTTTATGACCTTGGGATTATTTGAGTTAAGTTGAAAGCTCTCCGGGCATGATTGATTGTGTTTCTGGCACAGTGGTTCGCTGTCATATCATAAACCTCTCGAGCTATTGCGAAATCTCAAGAAAAGAAAGGGCTTACAAAAAAAAAGGCTTTTAAAAGTCGGTATCACGATCGCAAAGTCCATGGTCAGCGTGAAAACAGGCAGATGGGTTGTAATAATAGAAAGTCAGTAGGGTCAAGAGTTGATGCACAAGGAATCAAAACATAATTTAGTAAAGAAAAAATTCCTTTAAATTAGATTTAAATTAGATGTAATCCAGTCTGCTTGATGTTATACCTTTTGGTACTCGGCACTTTTTTTTCCTCAAACTTTGGGCCTACATGTCATGTTTTTGGTTTTTACTAATATCTTTTTGTTCAATGCAATATTTTTGATGTTGAGAGTCCACAATTGACAGAAACACTTCGTTTTGAACTATCCTGCGGAGTCCGACTGACTTTATTTCTAACTTTCTTTGCGTTGTCCGTTGCTCTTTTGCCACGAAATTGAATAAATATACATGTGCGATAAATTTGTCATCAATGTGACCAGATGATGGTGATTCAGCATCAAAATATTCACCATCTTCATCATGACTGAGTAATCGCCATGTTAATTAAAAGTTATACTCGTCAAAACCACCTGTTATGTTTACCTGATTGGCCTTCGTATTCATGAATTTGAGCAATTCCTCGCTTGCGTGCGAACAGTGTCAACATTGAGATGCCAATAAAACGGAATTCCTGTTTACTGTCAATTCCACTTCCCTGAAAAAAAGGGTCAAAAAGCTTGCCGAATAAAACAACACATCCTGCAAAACTATCTCACGGTGTGTTGTAATTTTGTGAATTATTAACTTTTTTTTTATTAAAGATCTTTATTTTATGCGGCGTGTTTCAGCTTTTTCTAAAATGCAGCTTTGCTCATCTCAGTGACAATTTCTGATCCAAGTTTACAATCGCGTTAGGTAAACAAATTCTTACAAGAAATTCCCAGGCTTCCTCGACAATTACCGTAACTGAATTCCTCGCGTCAAGATGATGAGAAGCTTAAGAACATAATCCCTTTCCGCGGAGACATGCAACAAATCGGATTAAACAGGATTATTCTCCCCATCGTCTTTAACAAATGCACCGAGATTAAAGGATTTACTTGAGGGCGACAGTTCTGCTATAATTCTTGATGACGAAGGCCCCTTCGGAACATAGTCGTTAACAGTTAAACGAAACATAAATGATCTCTTGAACTAATAATGTATGATCACTGTTCCCACTGCATGTGCACAGCTTGTTGTCTCTGGGAAATTGTAAGGATTCCCTAGCTAGCTTTGGAATGAAGAAAAGAAGTAACATAAGCATCCTACAAAGGAACCCCCCCCCCCCCAAAAAAAAAAAAAAAAAACAGTTCCAAAGCAAGACCTTCTCTCAACGTTGGCCGTAAGTTTGCCATTTTTTAGTCCACGAACATCGTACATTCGCCCACAACCTCAGAACGTCCTATTCCCGAACCGAGTCCCTCTTTTTTGAATCTTAGTTTCCCAGGATTTCTTGTGGCTGCCGTGGTTCCTCTTTTACAAAGCCTTCGAAGAAAATGCCAAGCTGAGGATTCAAACCATCCCTTTTTCTAGCTCCGTGTTCCTAACGATTCTTGGATAATGAGTTCTACAGCTGTAAGGGATTAAAGAAACACCCTGTCATTCAGATTCCTCCATCTTGAAAAAAAAACCCCAAACACAAAAACCTTAGATCCTCAAATTCCCAAAGAAAGAAGTTTCGTTGCTCCTACATCCCACCCCTCTCCCCTGTCAGCCTGTTGATTCACAGACCCCTCGATCCCCTGTCAATCAAACTGAATTCCCCGTACGGCTATCAATATAACTGACTCCCGGTGCGCACGGAAGTAGTAAACAAGAAAACCGCAAAAACTTGTTTGTCGTAATTATTATTGTGAAGTAAACCCTAAGAAGTAACAGGTCTGCGCTGTATACGACATGTAAACGGGCATGCCTGTACATGTATGTACAAGTACATGTACATGTACATGTACATGTACATGTACGTTGCGCGTGCACGCGTGTAGCAAGTCAATACCAAACAACAAAGGTTCTTTTGTTGTATATTTTAAGTATCTACCAGCGCAACAGCAAAAACAACCCCTGCACGGGGCATAGTTCATGAAAATGCATTCAACTATCAAAACAGCTTTTTATTATTCCTCATTTCACGTACAAAGCCGGCTTTGGGGTCTATTTTGGGATATCAGACAGGAATTGTATCTGATCATAATGAGAGTGCGTTATGTTTTGCAAAAATGTGAAGGGGGCTGAAAAAATTCAAATAACAACACCTATTGTTTTGGGTACAAAGTCAAAGTTCCTTATAATTTTTATCTATTCATCTATAATCTAAGTTCTGTCATGTGTCAAAAGTTTTTCAGTCATTTATATTAGGCCCTTCTTCTTGTGTAAAAAGGTGAAACACACAGTGATAAAAAGACAGTTACT